ACAAAGTACTACATCCTTTGGTTTTCTGTGTCAATTTTTTACTAATGAAATGTGCCTTTTACAACAATTAATTGGATCTTGTCTTTTGGTCCAAACAGGTAGTCTACCTGTTTTAATTGGAAAATTATTCTTTCTTTCTCCCTTATTTATATCAGGGGTTGCTGAGTTTAGACATATTTGAGTCTTTTCTACTTTTCACTTTTTCAAAAAAGATTGGAGGTGGGGTGTATGGGTATCTGTGGAGGCCAGAAGAGGGCACTGGATCCCTTGAGCTAGAATTATAGTCAATACTGAGTGACCTAGTATTGGTGCTTAGGAACTGAACTCCAGGCCTCTGCAAGAGCAGCAAGCACTTTGTACCACTGAGCTATCACTCCAACCCTGTAATTCTCATTTCTTAATCTGTTCATTTTATGACATTTATTTCATGTGCCCTTGTGTTCCTAGTTTCTTTCTCCTTTGTGTATGGAATTCCCTTAAGTATCTTCTGTACTGTTTGCTTAGTGGTCCTGAATTGCTTTGGTTCATGCTTATCTTAGAAAGTATTTTCCATCAATTTTAAAAGCTATCTTTGCTGGATACAGTATAATTTTGTTTGAAAGTTATTTACTTTCATGACTTGAAATATATCATTCCATGCTTCTCTGGTTTTTAAGCTTATTTTTAATGTTTTATTTATTATTGTGTGTGTATACATAATGGGGTGCGGTCACCGCCAGCGGCGGCCACTCCTCCATTCTCACAGGCGCCGCTCCTTCATTCTCACGGGCGTCGAGGCTGCTCCTCTGCTCACCCTGGGCTGAGGCCGCTCTTCTGCCTGCTCTGGGCTGAGGCTGCTCTTCTGCTCACCCTGTGCTGCCTCCTGTCATCGCTGCTTTTGCCTAGTCCCAGACCCCAGGGCTGGTGAGGAGACTGTGTCAGTGGAGCTGCATGCAGACACAGGAGACCAGGTTCAGTGACACAGATCCGGTTTATTGCAGGAAGGCACAAGCTTAAATAGGGGTAGTGGTCCAATCACAGCACAGCAAGTAGGATACCTTATTAGCATAAAAGGTTTAGCATCCTATCACAGTACAGCAAGTAGGATACCTTATTAGCTTAACAGATTTAGTGTCCTATTAGCATAACAGACTTAACATCCTATCACAGAATAGCAGGTAGGATGCGTCATTAGCATCGTGAGCCTGGTTTCTGGAAAACACGTGACCCTGACTATTGGAATATCTAAGTGTTGAAATTTTGGATTCCAAGGGTGGTGATTAGGGGGTGGCAAGCTCTAGACATCAGTCTCATTATCTGCCAATGGGAGAAAATGTCACAAGGTTTTTCTTGTGGCTCCAGCGGTTGGGCCATTGCCTCAGGCCTGCTGTATGGCTGTCAATAAGACTTTCACCCTAGGCTCAAGCCTGTCTCCCACAGTGTGGGAGGTTGCACACCTTGGTGCACATGTGAAGACCAGAGATTTGTAAAGTCTGTTCTTTCCTTCTACCTGTATGTGAATTCCAAGGATGCAACTTAGGTCACCAGGCTTATGCAGCTTAATTACAAAGCCATTACATTGTCCCACGTTATTAAGCTTTCTGCTGACGTACAGTGTTACTCTGATGTGTTTGACTTGATAAGTAATGAGTTCCTCTCTTGTTGTTTTTAATATTATTTCTTTGTTCTGTAGCTCTAACATTTTAAAGATGATAAGTCTAGGAGATGTTCCTTTTTGGAATTATAAATCCCTCTTTACTTATGTGTCCATATCTTTACCTAGACTTGGAAATTCTTCTATTATGATTTCATTGAGTAGCTTTTCTATCTACCATACTTCTTGAACCATTTCTTTACTGGTCATGGATATATTAGTAGCTTTAGTCTCATCATCTAGTGGTAAGAACTAAGTCAGTTACTAAGTCATTTGATCAGGTGTCTTGTATAGAGAACCTCTGGAAAACTACATAACTTTCATGAACTCATCCAGTCTTCCCTGTAAGTTGCATTATGCACTGCCTGCTCTTGCAGAGGACATGGATTTGATTCCCAGCACCCACAAGGCAGCTAACAACCATTAGTAACTCCAGTTCCAGGGACCTCATGAATTGCCTGACATTCATGCAGGATACACTTACATACATGCAAGTAACACACTCATACACATAAAATAAAAATAATATGTAAAATATTCTTTAAAAAAAAAAGCATAAGAGACTGGAGAAATGGCTCAGTGGTTAAGAGCACTTGCTGCTCTTGCAGAGGACTAGAATTCAGTTCCCAGCATCCACATAGAGTGACTCGCACTGCCTGTAACTCTAGTTCTGGGGGAATCTATCACTGGCCTCTGTGGGCAACTGCACACACATGATGCACATACATACACTCAGGCAAACACATATACATATAAAAGTTAAATAAATAATTTTTTAAACGAGAGGAAAGGTTATGAACTGTTGCTTATACAAGCACTTTGCTGAAATACTTATGTTATCTCATTGAATACTTATGACCTTATAAAATGTGATGTCATTTTCATTTTATAGGTGACGATCGAAGCATAAGTGGATTTCTATAGGCAAAATCTAGGACATTGGGGAAGAAATATTCTAAGATAACTAACCCTGTGGTCCATCTTCTTTTTTTCATACTTACATAAGTTATTACAGTCATTGTGCACATGAAGAATGTGTGTTTGGCATGTTTCCAAAGCTGGCAGTCGTCAAGCAAACAGGCTGCAAAGAAAGAATAAAGAAGAAATTCTAGCTTGCCAACAGATAAAAACAAGTGTAATTCTAAAGCAGACTAAATATTAAGGTTTGAAATAAAGGCAGAAAAAAAGTTCAAGATATAATGAATTAATGAATGGTTAAACAGAAGGTGCTTCTATCTAAATCTTTAAAGCTTGCAGTTCTTACAGATAGGATGAAGTTGGTCAGATGTACAAAAAACATTGGATAGTAAGATACATACTATCTAGTACATAGGTTCTGTTGTGACCAAAATAGCTGTCAATAAATTGCAAGGAAGGTAGGGGATACAAGAGCCTTAGATGATGTGCATTTACTGTTTCAACTCCAACTTCTCTTTAGAACTAGTTCTCTGACCATAACCCATAGCCTTCTGACATAGCCAAACTCTTAGTAGTCACTTTTTCTAGAATGTGGGTATCAGGCATCAAGAAATTGTAGAACTGATGTCCAGGACCTCCACCTGCCATTCAGTGTGCGCTTTCATTTTGTAAGTGTTCATGAGTGTCCTTGCTAAACATCACCTATGCTGGGCAGTACTTAAGTGTTTATGTTTTCTCTAGGAAGTTGGCATTTCTTAGGCTTTCACTAGTTTTAACAGACAATATTGCCACTTACAAAATGATGCCACAAATATGTGTGTGTGTGTGTGTGTGTGTGTGTGTGTATGTGTGTGTGTGTTAAAGATTGATTTGGGGATTATATGAGGTAGTATCTTCATTTTTAGCTTTATTGTTTCCTTATCTCTCTGATATCTGAGGAGACAGGCTTCTAAACATTTAACCGGAAAAATTGATTAAAGCATGTAATCATGCCATAAGCACCGAATTTTTCTCCTAAAAACATTTGAACTCCTATTCACCCATCTTTGTATTTTTTAACTATTTTATTATTTTTATTTTATGTGTATGAGTGTATTGCCTGCATGTATGTAAGTGCACCAGTGTCATGCAATGCCCACAGAAGTCAGAAGAGGGCTTCGGATTCCTCAGGAACTGGAGTTACAGGCAGTTGTTAGTCACCATGTAGGTGCTTGGAATTGAACCCCAGTCCTCTGCAAGAACAGCCAGTGCTTTTAACCAGCAAGCCAACTCTCCATCCCTTATTAATAAGTATTTTTATTAATTATTTGAGAACTTCATACAATGCATTTTGATCATATTTCTTTCTCCCCCAGTCTCTCCCAGATGCACCCTACCATCCTATTCACCTAACTTCAAGATTGTTGGGGGTTTTTTTCTTCCTTTTGAGTCCAATATGTACTGCTCAGATACTCGGGTATGGAACCACCCAAGAATGTGATCCAGCAAGGGTCACACTTAAAGAACTGACTCTTTCAGTCCCTGCGGCTATCTTTGGTCAGTAGCTCCTCAGCTAGGACTGAGTCCTGATTACCCACTACATGCTAGGATTTTTGTCTGGCTTGAGCATGAGTAGGTTTTACACATGCTGTCACAGTTTTGTGAGTTCATATGTGTAACACGCTGTGTATTAGTTACTTTATTGTTGCTGTGATAAGACACCATGAACAAGGCAACTAATAGAAGGAAGAGTTTATTTGAGCTTATTCTTACAGAGGAAAGTTTCCATAATGGCAGCATAGGTGGCCAGAAGAGAAAGTCAAATGATCCCATCTTGATGCAGGCACAGGAAGCAGAGCAACTGAAAATCTGGGGCTTAAGAACTCCCAAAGCCCACCCCTGGTGACGTGCTTCCTCCAGCAAAGCCACATCTCCTAAAACCTCCCAAAACAGCACCACCAACTAGGGACAAATGTCCAAATACTTGGAGCCTATGTGTAACAATCTCATTCTAACCACCACACCCTGCTATCTGGAAGTTACTGTTTCCTTGTATATGTGTTTGCCTGAATATGTATGGGCACCATACAGTCAGTGATGGATCCCCTGGCACTACAGTTACAGGTTGTGTGAGTCACCCTAAGTGGATGAATTCTTGTCCTTTGCAAGAGCAGCAAATACTCTTAACCACTGTGACATTTCTCCAGCCTCTCATGCTAAAAAAAAAAAAAAAAAAATTACCACTATGTATTGATATTAGAAAAAATTTATTAGTGAAATGCTGAATAACATCAGTTCAGAAGATTTAAATAAAAGAATCTTGTTACTATTGTTTTATAAATATTGTTAAAACGTCTAGGGTTATTTTAAATCAATGTCATATTTATTTTACTTTAGGTTATATTTGGTATGGAAAATTTTTATCTAACTTGACCATTGATAAATTTATTGTTCTATTTTTATTCCAAAGCTCCCAGAAGAAATTATAATGGAGTACTTCAAGAAGTATAAGCCTAGAATGAATGAGCTGGAGGCATTTAATATGGTAAATCTTAGATTTAGACATATTAAATTGAACATGCTGTTAGACTTGAATAGTATCCATTAAATTTTTTATGGTCCCAACCAATCTGTGTTGTTTTTCTCTTTGTATAGGAAAACTATTTGGGGTCATTTCCTATTTCAGAGCTATATTAGGTGTTAGTAATGTAATAAAGAGCACATGGTAGATTGCTCTTAAAATGCATTATAAATGCATGGAAAGACGTTTCAGTGTCCTTTGAACACATATTAGTCTCCAGTACAGTTATTTCACAAGCATTCCTACTAATAAATTTCATTCTTAGGACTCCTTTAAAAGCATTCTGTCACATCTGATTGCTTCCTAGGTTCTGCCTCAACATCTTTTAGAGTACCTTCTTTTCCTGTTATTAGCAAAAAAAACTTTAGCTGTGTAGTATTCATTTTCTGAAGATGTACAACGGGTGTTAGATATTTGGTGTAGATGAAGATTTTATAGATAACATTTTCTGAAACATAAATGTTAAGCAAATAAACTAATCTTTTTAAAGTTCCACTATCCTGTCTTATTTTTCTTTCAGTTGAAAGTTGTCCTGGCCCCTTGCATAGAGACACTGATTCTTCTTGATCGACTTTGTTACCTAAAGGAGCAGGTAAACTATGTTATTTTTAAATGCATAAGAAGTATTTTTATTAGGTGAAGTAAAGTGAGTCTACTAATATAACAGCTGGGATAAGGTTATTTTACACAAACGAGTAAAATAATTTCTCTCATGTTTTAATACTTTAAATGTTCTTTCTCTTTCCTGCTTAAAATACAAACATATGTACAGCAGATGTCTTCAGAAAAAATGCTATAATAAAGTTTACGTTCTTTTAATTATATAGTAGTTATTATTCATAGTCAGTAAACACAAGCAACCATATGAGACATATTTCACAATCAAAATTACTTATGGCCAAGCATAAAAGATACTGTCTACTGTGTACACATTTAATTTTTTAAGACTTAGCCTTTTAATGCACTTTTGAATTTTTTGACATACATGTACAAATCTATCTAAGATACAGGTCTATCTATAGATCTCAGATATGCCCTTCTAATTAGTGAAGAATACTTCTCATTTTATGAACTGTTTAAATCCGTTTGTGGAAATTAGCCTAATGTTTTCAATATAAAGTCTTCATTTTAACAATTTTATTTTGTCATATAGTATTTTTCCTTTCAAAAGGCTTTTTGAAACAAATGGATTTTAATAAATGTTTTTAATTTATGGTTTTACAAAGAAAGATAATTTTTTAAGTATTTATAATGTACTTTTCTTAGCAGCCGTTTAATTCCAAATCACTGGAAAGCTTTGATCCCCCAGTTGATGGGTGATAGGTTCAGTACGTATTTTAACAGGCACTCATTTTACTTTTGAAAAACAATTTCCATTGACCTACATAAATAGTTAAGTAAAACAGTATACAACGAAATTAATAGGTCCTGATGAAATGTCACAAAACATAAGATTTTTCATTTTTAATATTTTAACTATCTTATGAAAGTAATACTTATTTGTTAGAAAAATCCAAGACATATAAGAAGATAAAAGAAAGTAACTAGTACTACCTTTCAGCATTAACTATTAAATATTTGGTACATTTGGTAATGATGCTTTCAGACTTGTAGCTCTGGTATCCACGTGTGTGCATATTATTTACTTTAAATAACATGATAAAATTTTAAAAATATTTTACTGTTTTTATTTTATGTGTATGAGTGTTATGCTTACATGTAAGTAAGTGCACCCATGTCATGCTATGCCCACAGAGAACAGAAGAGGCTGTCAGATCCCCTGGAAATGGAGTTAACAGACAGTTGTTAGCTGCCTTATAGGTGCTGGGATTCAAGCCCAGATCTTCTGCAAAACCAGTCAGTGTTCTTAACTGCTGAGCCATCTCTCCAGCCCAACACGATAAATTTTAACATGTTTTATATGTAATTTGTTTCATTTATATACCACATTCTCTTCTCATAACCTGTTCTGCACAAGGGGAATAATGTTTTCAGCATAAAATTATTTATTTAAAATATATTTGTTATTGGCTAAGTTCATTTTTTTCCAGAGTAAAGCAAAGAATGTTCTGGCACTAAATATGTGTGTATTTTTTTTCAACATAACTTCTTGAAAGTGAAGTTGTAAATGTTAATTTTATTTCCCAAGGAATTATTTTATGACATTTGGTTTTTAGTTTTTCTATTACAATATGTAGTCTGACTCATCTCTCTTTGATTCATTCAGAATGGTTATATATCTAATCCTTTATCGATTTTCAGGAAGATGTTGCCTGGGCTGCGCTCGTGAAGCTGTTTGACCCTGTGAAATCCCCCAGGTGCTACGCTGTTGTTGCTCTGAAGCGGCAGCACTGATTTCAGTTGAAACAAGTTATTAGTTGATCTGTTTCTGGGACTTTCAGCTAAGATTGCTTTTATAAACATTTATATTGTTATGTAAATATTTTTAAATGTTTAGTATATTTTAAATAAAATAATGGGTAACAACCTAAGATCACAAATTTTCCATTGTCAAAGCGTATAATAAAAAAAGAACTTATGAAAATAAGTTCCTTGAGTATGTCAATAGCAGATTGTAATTCTGTCTTAATTCTTATTCAATATTTGAATCCTTGTTATTTACCACACATCACACTCTGATGCTTTAAGAAAAGAAGAAAAGGAAGAAGAAAATGCAGCTGTCCTCAAATGCTGAGGTGTGTTTGCACTTTTCTCTACATTTTGGAAGAGTGTTCCACATTACCATGAGGGCAAAATCAACAGTCAGAAGGAGCTAAGCCAGTTATAAAATGTGTCTAATGTAGAGCACATTTTACCATGTTTTAATCTAAATTTTATTCCCTTAAAGAAATGTGCATCTTATAAGTAAGTCACTTTGAGGATTCTTGATGCTATTTATGTTACTAAAATGAAGTGATGGGCAGGAATTACCTTGTGCCCTATAAAAACCCAGCCTGAGTAAAGCCAGATTGAGTAAAAGGAGATAGCTCCCTGCCTAGTGTGCAGCAAGTTTCTTTCACAGGAGACAAAGTTTCTTATGTACACAGAAGAGACAACTGGGAGAAGGCTTCCTTGATGCTCAGCTAGACAGTCCCTCTGTTTTAGTTTGCCTTCAATTACCATGACAAAAACACTGACCAAAACCATCTTGGGGAGGAAAGGATTTATTTGGCTTATACCACAGACATGCATGAACACTGCTTTCTGGCTTTATCCTCTGGCCTGTGCTCATCCTGCTTTCTTATACAACACAAGACCATCTCCAGGGGTGCCACCGCCCACAGTGGGTTGGGCCTCCCACATCATTAAGCAATTCACAGGCCAGTTCAATGGAGGAAATTCCTCAATTGAGAGTCTGTCTACCCAGGTGTGTCAGGTTGACAAATGAAGTTATCCAGCACACCCTCCAAGATTCTCTGGAGTAGGAACAGTAACTGCTTTCATAAACTTTTTAGCTTCTCCCTAGAAAATAATTTTTCTTCTTTTTAAGAAGGAGTTTAATAATGAGTTTCCAGCCAATATGTAAGTGAATGACTAGGTATTGGGTTTAGCTGGCACTTTGCTACTAAGCTATTTTAATTTTTTTTTTTATTCAATAGACATTCAAATATGTGGAAGTTGCAAGTAGGTTTTAAGGAATCCCTGTGTACTCCCCACATACTTCAGCAATTATCACTACTTACCAATCTTACTTCTCCTGTATGAGTAGGCACATCCACCCTACACCCATCCCCTGTACTCCCCCTACCCCCGCTGAACAATTTTAAAGAGAATCCGAGGCAGCTTGTTACTCATCATAGATAAATTAGTATTCATTTCTAACAGCTAAGAATTTTTCTGCATAACATTTATGTCTTTTTTTTCTTTTACACATCTTTGATTTGCTCAAAAAGCATTTTTTTTTTTTTTTTTTTTGTCTTTTTGAGACAGGGTCTTCCTGTAGCCCCAGCTGTCCTGGAACTCACTATGTAGACCAGGCTGGCCTTGAACTCACAGACATCTGCCTGCCTCTGCCTCCCAAGTGCTGGGATTAAAGGTGTGCACCATCACACCCGGCCTCAAAAAGCTTTTTTATATCGGTTCATTATGTTCAGATGTTTTGGGGTTTGTTGTTGTTGCTTTTGTTTTGTTTTTTGAGACAGGATCCAGTAGCTCCAGCTGGCTTGGAACTGACTATACCAGGCTGGCCTTGATCTCACAGAGATCTGTGTGCCTCTACCTCCTGAGTGCTAATTTAAAGGCAAGTGCCATGAGGCCCAGCAGAGATTTTGGGTTGTTTTTTAATTTTTATTAATTACATTTGTATTTATCTGGTTGATGGAGTCAGTGGGTACATGCCTGTGTAGATCAGAGCACAGCTTGTGAGAGTCAGTTCTCTCCTTCCACCAGGTGAGTTCCAGATATCAAATTTGGGTATTAATCTTACAGCAAGTACCTTTACCCTCTAAGCCATCTCACTGGGCCTATTATTAGGTTGGGTTGTTTTGTTTTCACTTTTGGTAAAAATACTTAATAGTGTCTTGTTATTTCTAATGCATCACTTCTTTAGCTAGTCATGTTTAGTTCTAATAGGATTGATCAGCCACTTACAGTTGTGCATCTGATTAACTAGTATGAACTTCCCTTCCACCTTCCTCTTAGTGACAGCGGTTGAAACCAATAAAGAAAACATATATAGTATGCAAATTAGCTCATTTACCATATTCATGCTGATTGACTGAGAATGCTCCCCTGTTTCAGTTTAACAATATATGTCATTATTTTGTGCTAAATGACCTTTTTGTTTTAGAAGACTGTATTTTTATTTCCTCATATTTGGTTGCAGTAAGTTATCTCAGAAGGAATGGCCTATAATCTTACCTTTCATGATTTACCTATAAAAATTTAACATCCTTCTTTGGCAACCAAATTTTAATTTAAAATTCATTTCTCATAATAAAAACCTTCATGTGTATGAAACATTATTTTGTATTAAAAAGTAAATTAAAGCAACTTCATCAGCAATAAAACTGTAGTAATTTACCTATGTGTTGGGATATTATTAGAAATTGTTCTTATCAATTCAGGTATATGACTCACACATCCATTTAACATAAGACAATTATGTGCTCATATTAAGATAACATTTCAGCAAAAGCAAAGAAATACAATTTAGCAAGATTGCAACTTTATACACATAAATCCATATTACAGTGATTGTAGACAACCATCTTATAAAAACTGTCCTTTCACTAACCTACTCCACCCCCACACTGTCCCGATAGCCTTGAACCCAGGCCCACTCCATTTTCTCTGCATCCAACCACTGGACTATCCTCCTAACCCACGCTAACTAAACCCTCTAGCATAGATTGCTAAGGCCCTCCTCCGAAGTTCCCCAGCCCCATCTTCTGTTGACTCCTGACCAGCCTGACAGACTGGCCCACCTAGAACTCTAAGTCACATCCCACCTACAGTGTCTCTATTCCATTCCTCTGCAGCCTTATTACTTCCAAGCTACTCCACCCCTACCCTGTCCCCTGCTAGCCTTGGACCCCAGCCCACTCCAGTTGCTTAGCATCCCAATCCTTGCACTAGCTTCCCAGTCCAGACTAGCTAAACCCCCTAGCATAGATTCCACTGGCTCCTGATCTGTCTGACACAGCCCAGCCCTCCTACTACCCTGACTAGCCAACCTACTACTCTGTTCACCAGCTGCCTAGAACAGTCCACTACCCTGCAAGAATGTGAAACACATACCAATTTATTTATCATATCTAAGCAAAAAGCAGCCAAGCAACATAAATAATATAAACAGAACCAAAATCCAATTAAAGACAGAATAGAAGTTCCCACTGGACACACAGCCAACAAAGAACATCCATACACCCAAACAGCAGCACAAAAACACAAATAATATGAAAAACCCAAGAGACTATATCCCAACAAAATCCACAGGTCCTACAGAAGTGCAGTACATTGAGAACCACCCTGAGGAATCCCCAGGACACAGAATTTAAAAGAAAAGTTATAAACATAATCGAAGAACTTAAAGAAAACACAACTCAAAGAACTCAAAGAGGATAGACATAAACTTGTGATGGAAGCACAAGAATATACAAATATGTGCCTTAATGAAATATCAAAAACAATTCAGGACTTGAAAAGTAAATTCAGAGAAGACATAGAAATATTGAAGAAAAGCCAAACTGAAATGAACATAGGACTGAAAAACTCAAAAATCCAATTGAAAACAAGAGAAGGCCTCACAAGCAGAGTAAATGAAACAGAAAACAGAATATCAAGACTGGATGAAAAAGTTGAAAATCTGGACTTCTTAAGCAAAGACTATGAAATTTTTTTTAAAAAACACAGGAATAGACTATGCAGGAAATGTGGGACAAAATGAAAAGACCAAATCTACACATCATAGGCATACAGGAAGGAGAAGAATCTCGGGCCAATGGCATTGACCAGATCTTCAACAGAATTGTAAAAGAAAACTTCCCTAAATTAAGGAAAGAACTATACAGATTCAAGAAGCACACAGAACACCAATTAGACATGACCAGAACAGAAACTCCCCATGGCATATCAGTGAAAACATTAAATGTACAGAACAAAGAGAGGGTAGTGATGGCTGTTAGAGAAAAACAACAAGTTACATATAAAGGAAAACCCATCAGAGTTACAGATGACTTTTCAGTGCAAACTATGATAGGGAGAAAAACCTGGACCAAAGTATTCCCAGTTCTAAATGACCATGGATGCCAACACCAAATACTTTATCCAGCAAGACTATCATAGTCAAAGGGGAATGGAAAATTTTCCATGACACAAATAGGATGAAAGAATTCATGTCTTCCAAACCAGTCCTACAGAGAATACTTCAAGCAATGCAAAGCACTGAAGAAAGGAATATACCTTTCTTGAGTATACACAAGAGACTACAAAAGAAAAACAAAGAAAGGTATAGTAACAGAAACACAAGATAGGACCACAAACACAAGTTAAAATGACAGTATCAAATACTCATCATTCAGTAATAACACTAAATCTCAATGGCCTCAACTCCCCTGTCAAAAGACACAAGCTAACAGAATGGATCATGAAAGAAAGCCCATCTTTTTGTTGTCTTCAGGAAACTCATCTGACCTTCAAGGATAGACACTACTTTAGGGTGAAAGGATGGAAAAAAATATTCCAAGCAAATGGCTCTGAGAAGTAAACAAGTGTTGCAATTTTAATATCTGACAAAATAGAATTCAAATTAAAACTAAACTGAAGAAAGAGGGTCACCCAATTCTATTCCAAGGAGAATTGGTCAAGAAGATATTACAGTCATGAACATTTTTGCACCAAACTCTGATGCACACAATTTCATAAAAATAGTACTCTAAGACTATAAAACACAGACTAACTCCAACTCGGTAATAGTAGGTGACTTCCATACCCCACTATCTTCAGTAGATAAATCAACTGGACAAAGAATAAACAGATATCTGAATTAAATGACATCTTACATGAAATGAACCTAACATATCTACAGAATATTCCACCGAAACACCAAAGAATACACTTTCTACTCAGTAGCTCATGCAAGTTTTTCTAAAATTTACCATATTCTGGGACACAAATCTCAACAAATACAAAATAATTGAGATAATTCCATACATTCTCTCAAACCACAATGCAATAAAGCTTAAAATCAACAGCAAAAGAAGCTCTAGTAACTACTTGAACTCATGGAGATTAAACAACACACTCCTGAATGACGAATGGGTCAACGAAGAAATTAGGAAAGAAATAAAAGTATCCCTGGAACTAAATGAAAATGAGAATACAACACAACAAAACCTCTGGGATACTTCAAAAGCCATCTTAAGAGGGAAGTTTATAGCTCTTAGTACCTACATTTAAAAAAAAAAAAAATCAGAGCACATGTCAGTGACTTAACAGTACAACTCAGGACTCTGGAAAGGCAAGAACAAACCAACCCCAAACCTAGTAGATGAGAAGAAATAACAAAAATCAGAGCAGAAATTAATAAGGTAGAGCAAAGAAAACAATACAAAAAAAATTCATTAGTCTAAAAGCTGGTTCTTTTTAAATTTAAACAAAATAGACCCTTAGCCCAGTTAACCAAAAGAAAGAAAGAGCAAACCCAAAC